GATCTCTTGTCCACTCAAATCACCAAACAGTGTGGCCTAAATTAGTAAATATTACACAATTCAATAAATAAACACAAATAACTGGGCATTTCAGCTAAAATATCAATCCTAATATTTAGCAGCCTTGATTGATATTAAATAGTTATTTTAAATCTTGACAAATCTTGACAGTTGACAGTTATCTTAATAGTTTAATATAACTAAGCCATGTTTTTCACACTGCTGGTTATTAAATTAAAAATTATATGAAGAAAGCTATTTAATTATTTTCATTTATTATATGCACCAATCAAGGGAGTGGAACTGGGACATGAATTTACATAAAATATTTCTCAACACCACTGCATGCCACTGGGACAAATATAAAAGTAATCTGTAAAAAAAACCCATCAGAATTTAGCTACAGTACATATATTTTTATTGAAATATTTTAACGTATCAATATATACATGATACATCTACATTCATTCTTCACGATTATTTTTCAGTGATTATGCAAATGTTGATTCAGAGTTTTGAATCAAATAATTGAAACAGTTTCACAAAAATGAAAACATACCAAACTCTAACTATCACTGAAGAAACACTAAAATTACCACTACATTCATGATGCTGCCTAATTTTTATTGTGAATATTCTATATATGACCCATTCCTAATAGCAACTACAATAAGTAACAATGTAGCTTTTAAGTAAAGCCTGTCTACCTGAGTGCAGTGTGGCACAAATCCGTATACGAGAGTGTGACAGTCACTGAAGAGAGCGTGAAGCTGTGAGGGGGCTTGAACAGGAAGCGGCACTGTGGGATTAAACTGCTGCCACTTCACTGCCACTGAGAATCAAGGGAGTGGAACTGGGACATGAATTTACATAAAATATTTCTCAACACCACTGCATGCCACTGGGACAAATATAAAAGTAATCTGTAAAAAAAACCCATCAGAATTTAGCTACAGTACATATATTTTTATTGAAATATTTTAACGTATCAATATATACATGATACATCTACATTCATTCTTCACGATTATTTTTCAGTGATTATGCAAATGTTGATTCAGAGTTTTGAATCAAATAATTGAAACAGTTTCACAAAAATGAAAACATACCAAACTCTAACTATCACTGAAGAAACACTAAAATTACCACTACATTCATGATGCTGCCTAATTTTTATTGTGAATATTCTATATATGACCCATTCCTAATAGCAACTACAATAAGTAACAATGTAGCTTTTAAGTAAAGCCTGTCTACCTGAGTGCAGTGTGGCACAAATCCGTATACGAGAGTGTGACAGTCACTGAAGAGAGCGTGAAGCTGTGAGGGGGCTTGAACAGGAAGCGGCACTGTGGGATTAAACTGCTGCCACTTCACTGCCACTGAGCTGCAGCCTGGAGACTCCATACGCTGAACCTGAGCGCGCACCTGAAATGATCCACAAATCTCTTCAACTCAAGCCTCAGACTGGCCAATTTTGGAAAGATAATGTTTCCTTCTTAGTTATTAAAAACAATACAATAATGTGTGTGATTCACCTTTTCTGCCCAAGTGTGTTTAATCTTTGTGTCAAAAAATTCATATGTTCCTCCACCTGCCTGAGCTAAAGCTCTGAGCATATGACGATTAGCTGTCAAGCTAGACAAACACAAACACAATCAAACTGTACGTTCAGAAATTCAGTGTAAATGAAGGAGAAAAATAAAGAGATTTGTTTAAGGCATACCTGAGTCCGCAGGTGAAGAGGCGCGTGTGGCAGGAGTTTTCTCGGACCAGCTGTAGGGTCAGAGGCTGGTTCTGAACATGTCCATCAGAGAGCAGCAGGATGTTCCTCACGCCCCGGCAGGGAGGCAGCAGACTCAGGCTCCGGAGAGGCCGCCACAGATCAGTGCTGCCACCAGAGCCGCCACACGACTGAAGAGAGGAGAAATGCAATGATATGCAAAGAAACAGATTCAGAACCATCTTTAAACATTTGTAAACATTACTCACCATAATAAATTTTCTGGCTGATTCAGATGCCTCATCTAAAGGCACTGGTGCAGGAAAAGCTTCCTTGTAATCTGTAAAAACGCACACATTTACCCATAATGCTTCACTTTGTATTACAAAAATAATAGGGAAATGAAAATGTCCACAAGATGACAATATCAGACAGTTTCTGTGAGCACTAACCAGTGCTGAAAGAGATGATGTTGATCTTCAGTGAGCGGTCCAGAGATTTGAGGACTTGAAGGGAAATCCTACGAGCGTTCAGCATGTTGTCTCCCTGCATGGACTTGGAGGAGTCCAGAAGAATGACCACATCGCTCACACTGGACGGACCTCCAGAGCTGGACACCCCGCTTGACTTAAAGTCTGGATAAAACACCAGCATGCAGGCCTGCAGGGTTCAGATCCGTATCAGTGTTCATTTTTGTCAGTGAGCGTAAGATGGAAAGTGTCAATATTTGTGTGCAATATGCTGCAAAATATCCATGACAAACAGGAAAACAGATTTGAGTGATCATTTCTTTACCTGACTATCTTTACCCGGATGGTTCTCGACCCACATCCTGGGCATGTGGATATTAGAAAGACTAAAGGACACCTGTAAACCTTCAGATCCCAGAGTCTGTCCCGGTAACGTGCTGATCACTGCCTTACAGTCTGTCCTCTGAACAGGGAAAAACCAATACTGTTAATATGGTTCATATCTGAATATGTTTATTTTTTCAGAAAAAACAGTATTTAGTAAGATAATGCACAAAAGTAAAATAACCTTGGTTTTGATGCGGTGTGAAGAGCTCAAGTTGATGATCTCATAAGGCATTTCAATGGACATAGACAGAGAAAACTCCCTGAAGAAAGAGATAGGGAACAAAAGAGTTTGAGGACACTGAACATTTTTATCAAAATCATACACTAAACAGAACAATGCAACAACCTTGTAACCACCCATTGTCCAAACTAGACCAGGTGCTACTGTATATAAAGTGTGAAGTTATAAAGGTTAAGTGTTAAATTATATTATATGTGGTTTGCTACATGAAATAATTGGCTTTTATATTTTTACTTATCAGCAGATGCATTTTTAGTGAATTTCGCTGTGAATTCTCCAGTATTTGAGATTCTCACCCCTCTGACTGAAGCTCCGTCACACCAATCTTTTCAACAGTGGCCTGAAATGTAACACAGCTGTCATTCAAAACACTAACAATCAGCAGGCCAAACAGGATTTTAAATACAGTAACAAAAGCATGTTGTACCTGAGTTGTCTGATTAAGGGTGGCTCTCTGTTGCCATGGTGCCACGCTGCCAGACAGTAAGAAGACTATAGAGCCTGATCTGACCAGCAGCTCAGTGATGAACGTCACCTTGATCAGAACTGTGGCTCCAGGAGGAAGATTCCCCACACTGATAGTAAATACATCCTGCCTCACATAAACACGTGACCTTAAAGAAACCTTCTGATACATTATCACACACACATGAGCTCCAGATCAGATACAGTAACTCACAGGTGCATCCTGGTCCATCAGGTAGGCTCCATGACCTTTCTCTATGGCTTGCTTGTACTCCTTACGAGCTTGCTCTTTTTCCTTTACCTATAGGACAAAACAGACATTAAAAATGTTGAGAAAGAGGCTGAAAAACCAGAGACTGCATTTGACAAATTCTGAATGACTCGCACCTTTCCAATGACATGTTTTCCATTGATAAAGGCTTCAAATCCACACACTGCTGCCGTCTCCTCCAGTGGAAAGACATACTTTGCTTCAATGGGAACAGCACTCTGGTTTGTGTAGGTCTGGAAAATGATGACCTGGTGGAAGTGGGGAAGAAATTAATGTTGCAGTTTGAAATTATATTCCAGTGGAATTTCAGGGTTTTATTTAGTCTATATTTTATTTTGTTAATTCTGTTGCTTTTTATTTCTTGTGATGTCTTTGTTCCCTTGGTCTTGATTGTGTCCATCACTGCCTTGTTCTAGTTTTAGTTTAGTACCGGAATGTTCGATGTTTAGTTCTTTTGGTTTACTTCGGAACACATCATGCTCATTTCTCAACACTAATTTTAAATTACAAAACTGCAGTCCACCGCTGTAGGATCATACCTGACACAGTAGGTCCATCAGCTTACACCTCACATTGACAGCATGTAGAGGAAGTTTCTGACCACTGCTGTCCAACAAACCTGCGTTCATTACCTCCAGAGGATTCTTAGTGGACTCCAAACCCTCACTGTTATCACTGGACACTAAAGAAACACATTCAAACAAAACCACTGATGAATTTAACAACACAAATCATAGCATTCAGCGTCACAGAGCATCAGATAACCCTGAGCCTAAGGAACATGTCGTTCCACCATGAGCTCAAATCAAGAGAGGATTTTGGGACTCAAACTTTGGTCACCAAGTTGGAGTGCTGCGCACAAGGTTATGGGCTCTGACATAATGTCATTCATTTAATAAAAAATTGTAATCAATTTGACAGTCCTAGTTAAAACCGATTCTTCCACATATAAAAGCTGGTCCCTCTCAGCATGTCCTGTTCACTAGATGTTACTCACAGATATCAGGTGTTGTGTCCGTGAGCTGAGTGTTGATTTGAGGCTGGAACTCTTTTAATTTGTCTCCCTCCAGACTGTACTGCACCACATACTTCAGTCTGATCTGCTCTGTGTTATAGACGACAAATTCATCATCCTGTCAAATATAAATATAAACACACACACACACACACACACACACAAATGCACATCAGATCCCCAAAACACAAGCAGAATATTTAAAGGGGTCATATGATGTTGCTAAAAAGAACATTATTTTGTGTATTTGGTGTAATGAAATGTGTTTATGCGGTTTAAGGTTCAAAAAACACATTATTGCACCACATACTTCAGTCTGATCTGCTCTGTGTTATAGACGCCAAATTCATCATCCTGTCAAATATAAATATAAACACACACACACACACACACACACACACACACACACACACAAATGCACATCAGATCCCAAAAACACAAGCAGAATATTTAAAGGGGTCATATGATGTTGCTAAAAAGAACATTATTTTGTGTATTTGGTGTAATGAAATGTGTTTATGCGGTTTAAGGTTCAAAAAACACATTATTTTCTACATACTGTACATTATTGTTTCTCCTCTATGCCCCGCCTTTCTGAAACGCGTTGATTTTTACAAAGCACATCGGTCTGAAAAGCGAGGTGTGCTGTGATTGGACAGCTATCCAGTGCGTCGTCATTGGTCGAATATCTCAAGCGTGTGATGGAAATGTTACGCCCCTACCATACTGTGATGCCCTGTCCGGCCGGAGCGAAGAGACAAAAACATTCAAACCCATTATAAACGAGGCATTTGTTGCATCCAGTGGGGACATAATTACTGATTATAATGACTTATACTGTCTTTTTATGCGTTGCGTTGCATCGCGCCGCGTAAACATAAAACCATGTCTGCATTTGTGATCGGAGAAATGACAAACTACAAGTGCTACTCTACACTGCTCAAAAATCACGTTTGAATCATCAGTGGCAATTCCTTTAAATATAAAAAAACGTACTTACAGTCTGTGAGTCAGAACAACCGGCATTTTAGTCTACTCTACCAGGATCAGGAAACATTCCTCCATAAAATGCACTGGACACATCTGAATATTTGGGTTAAACTGTTCTGGAACAGTGTTGTAAATATAACTTAACCACTCATTTCTAGTCGTGTCCTCTTTTGGAAGACCAAACAAAGTACTTTCGCTTTCACGATGAAACACATGGCGGGCTAGAGTGAGCGGAGTCTGGGGGCTAGAGTGAGCGGAGGCAGGCGGGCTTGAGAACGGCGCGGTCGGCGGATTCGACGAAGGAGCGTCCGGAGGGCTTGCGGCAACCACATGTGACGACCCCAGGCTGGACTCCACTTCGTCCACGGTGAAAGCCGAT